GGTTGTCAACGAAGCAGCTGAAGATGGTTGGATCTAGGACACTACCCTGAGGAACTCCTGTAGAGATCTCCTGGAGCCAAGATGACTGACATCCAACAACCACAACCATCTTCTTTTGTGCCAAGAATGACCCCAATCAATGGAGAGCCAACCCCTGATTTCCAGTCACTCCAGTTATGCTAGGATTCCTTGATGACACATCAAATGCATCCTTGTCAACAGCAGTCATTCTCAGCTAATCTCTGGAATTCAGTTCTTTTGTCTATGCTTGAACCAAGGCTGTAAGTAAGGACAGGAGCTTAGTTGTCCTGTCAGAACCTCAGTTGTCCTGTCAGAACCTAAACTGGGCATCGGGGAGCAGGCTATTGCAAAGCAAGAGCTGCCTGATAATACTGTTAATGACACCTCCTGTCACTTGACTGGTGATCGAGCGTAGACTGATATGGAGGTAACTGGTCAGATTATATTTGTCCTACGTTTTGACCACAGGATGTACCTGGGCAATTTTCTACAGTGTTGGGAAAATGCCAGTGTCATAGCTGTACTGGAACAGCTTGTCTAGGGGTGCAACTGATTCTGGTGTACTAGTCTTCAGTACTGTTGCCAGAATGTTGAGGGCCCATAGCCTTTGCAGTACCCAGAAATGTCAGCTGTTTTTGATATCACATGGGGTGAACTGAATTGACTGAAAATTGTTGCAAATGCTTCAGCCTAATCTTTTGCACTGTTATGCAGAGTCTTGCCCCCCTCCATTGGGAGGAGAGAAGGTACATTTTGGAACCTTCTCCTCCAGTGAGTTGTTTTATTATCTACAATCATGACAGGACTGTACAGCTTAGATCTGATCTGTTGATTGTGGAATCACCTGGCTCTGTCACTTGGGGCTTATGCTGTAAGGAATGAAAATCCTGTTTTATAGCTACACCAGATTGCCACCTCATTTTTAGGAGTGCTGCTCCTAGCACGTTCTCCTGCATCCTTTAGCGAACTTGGGTTGATCCCCTGGTTTGATGATAATAGTACAGTGGGCGTTGTGCTTGCTCTTAAGATTACAGATTGCGTTCGAGTAATTATACTTCTGCTGTTGATAGCCCACAACACCTCATGGGTGCCCAGTTTTGAGTTGCTAGATCTGTTCAAAGTCTGTACCATTTAGCATGGTGACAATGCCATACAACACAATGCAAGATATTCTCAATGTAAAGGGCGACTTTGACTTCATACGAACTCTGCGGTGGTCATCCTTACCAATACCACCATCAGTGGCTGGCAGATTGATGAAGATGAAGACAAGTATCTTTTTCCCTCTTGCCACTTGCTGCAGACCCAGTCTAGCATCAATGTCCTTTAGAGCTCGACCAGCTTTATAGTAATGATGCTGCTGGGTCACCGATGATGGTGACTGAAATCTCCCACTGAGAGTAAATTCTGCATCCTTGCCACCATCAATGCTTTCTGTTTCAACAATAGAGATGCAAAGACACATCAGGCAAGAGAGGATGGTACGTGGTGAATCAGTAAGAGGTTTCCTTGCCCATGTCTGACCTGGTAACATGAGACATCACGATGTCTGAAGTCAAAGTTGAGGACTCTCATGGAGACTCCCTCATGACTGGATACCACTGTACCACTACTTCTACTAAGCCTGCTCTGCCAGTGGGGAACAAGGCATACTCAGGGATGATGATGGTGCCGAGTACATTCGGTGCAAGGTATGATTCTGTGAGTGTGGCTATGTCAGGCTGTTCCTTGACCAGTCTGTGAGACAGTTCTTACAATCTTGAAACTGGCCCCAGATGTTTGTAAGAAGGACATTGTAGGGTTGACTTGGCTGTTTTTGCTGTTGTCGTTTTCTATGCCTTAGTTGACACTAAGTGCTCAACTCCATTCCATTTTTTTTGGAAAGTTGCTTAGTAATTGTTACAACAGTGACTTAATTGACCATTTTAGAGGGCAGTTAAGAGTCAATCACATTGCTGCGGATCTGGAGTCACATGTAGGTCATACCAGGTTAGGTTGGCAGATTCCCTTTCCTAAATGGTATCAGTGACCCGATTGGTTTTTCTGACAATAGATGATGGCTTCCACAGTCATCGTTAGAACCTTAATTCCAAATTTTTACTGAATCCAAATTCCATGAAGCTAGGTCTCCAGAACATTACCAAGCTTTCTGAATTAATAGTCTAGTGACAATACACTGGACCATTGTCTCCCCTTGAATCCCATGTTCCTTGCTGCAGATGTGGTTGCTGTGGATCTCACAGGCATCTAGCAGTTCCCATCTGATAGAGGTCTTCCAATCTCATTGTAAGACATAGGAGCGAAAGTAGGTTATTTAGCCCATCCAGTCTGCTCTGCCATTCCATAAACTCATGGCTAATCCCATAATCCTTAACTCCACGTTCCGGCCTTTTCCCTATAACCCTTGATTTCCTTACTGATTAAAAATCCATCTATCTCGGTCTTAACAACTCAGCCTCAACAGCGTTCTGTGGTAATTCCACAGATTCTCTGCCCTCAGAGATGAATGCTTCCTAATCTCTGTCTTAAATGTGCATCCCCTAATTCTAAGATTATGCCCTCTGGTCTTAAACTCTCCTATAAGGGGAAACAACCTCTCCGCATCTACCCTGTCAAATCCCCGATAAACTTCGTGTTTCAAAAAGGTCACTTTTCATTCATCTAAATTCTGAGCACAGGCCCAACCTCCTGTACTCATAAAACAGTTCCTTCATACCTATTAGCCTGGTGAACATTCTCTGGACTGCCTCTAGTGCCAGTATCATTTTCTATAACTAAAGAGCCCAAACCTGTTCACCGTACTCCAGCTATGATCTGACTAGTAGCCTGTAGCTTTTGTAAAACCTCTTACTTTTATATTCCATTCCCTTTGAAATAAAGGCTAACATTCCATTTGCCTTCCCTATTTACCTGAACTTTGATGCTAGCTTTTTGTGATTCATGCATGAGGACACCCAGATCCTTCTGTGCTGCAGCTTTGTCTTTCTCCATGTAAATAATATTCAGCTCCTCTATTCTACCTGCCAAGGACAATGGTATTTAAAACAATAGATATAATGGAAGTTCTTCCACTTGTACAAAAGTTCAAAAAAATAAGGGTTATAAATACATTAAAGAATTCAGAAGAAGTCTCTTTTCCCAGAATGTGGTCTGAATGTGCAACTTTCTATCGTATGAATTGCTGAAGTAAATAACGTAGATGCAATAGACAGTTATACTGATAGGCTTAAAAGAGGGATAAGCAGGAGTTTCAAGTGATGCAAACACACTTGCACAGGACTATTTGGGCTGAACTGCCTGCCCCTTTGCTGTAGTTTCAGCATACTAAGTGACTAAAACTACTCCAGTAATTACAAACAAGTTTAAACGATGTCTGCATTTTGCACTAACTAGTTTGATTTTCACATATTTCAACAGTTAACCATTACTCTACTTGGTGGATGTTTGAGACATCTTAAATGAATTTCTTTCCCTTAAATCCTCTATGGTATACTGGGTAGTAAGGTTAGATCACATGGGATCCAGAGAGAACTATCCAATTGGATCTAAAATTGGCTTGAAGGTAGGAGGCAGAGGGTGGTGGTAGAAGGTTGCCTTTTGGACTGGAGGCCTGTGACCATGGGTATGCCACAAGGATCGGTGCTGGGTTCACTGCTTTTCGCCATTTATATAAATGATTTGTATGTGAATATAGTAAGCACGGTTAATAAGTTTGCAGATGACATCAAAATAGGTCATGTCGTGGGCAGTGAAGAAGGTTACCTCAAAGTCAACGGTACTTTGATTAGTTGGGCCCACGAGCCGAGAAGTGGCAGACGGAATTTAGTTTAGATAAATGTGAGGTGTTGCATTTTGTTGAGGCAAATCAGGACAGGACTCATATAGTTAATGGTAGGGCCCTGTGGAACATTATTGAACAAAGAGACCTAGGGGTGCAGGTGCATAGTTCCTTGAAAGTGAATTTGCAGGTAGACAGGGTGGTAGAGAAGGTATTTAGCCTTCATTGGTCAAAATGTTGAGTATAGGAGTTGAGATGTCATAGTACTGCTGTACAAGACATTGCAGAGGCCATTTTAAAAATATTGCATACAAATCTAGTCACCTTTTATTGGCAGGATGTTGGTAAACTTGAGAGGGTGAAGAAAAGATTTACAAGGATGTTGCCAGGACTGGAGGGTGTGAGCTATAGGGAGACGCTGAATATGCTGCGGCTTTTTCCCCTCAAGCGTTGGAGGCTGAGGAGTGACCTTAAAGAGGTTTATAAAATCACGAGGGGCATGAATAGGATGAATACCAAAGTCTTTTTCCTAGGATTGGGTGGGGAGGGGGGGGGGTGTCTAAAACTAGACGGCACAGGTTTATGGTGAGACAGGAAAGATTTAAAAAGGACCCGAGGTGCCATCACCACCAAGGACATGCAGAGGATGGTGCATGTATGGAACAAGCTGCCAGAGGAAATGGTGAAGGCGAGTACAATTACAACATTTAATAGGTACATGAATAGGAAAGGGTTAAGAGGGATATGGGTCAAATGGGACTGGATCAGATTGAGATGTCTGGTCGGCGTGGGTGAGTTGGACTGAGGGATCTGTTTCTATGCTGTATGATTCTATTGAACACTATTCCCCTATTGATTGGAGCAAATCTGTAATAAGACAACTGCAACCACTTAGTCTGTCCCATCTTCTAACCTATCCTAGTCTTCTCTCTGTTCTACCTACACCATCACTTATTCAACAGCATAAAACCCATCACATTTTTAACTACCTCAGTTACAAAGAAGAATTATTAGACTTACAAAGGTTTTCCTTCACTTTGTTTCTACAACAGATTTCTAGAAACGGCAGTATTTCGCTTTTAGTTTAGCGTTAATTTCTTTACATTCTACATTAATGAATTTTGCACTTTGCAGCATTAACAGATATAAAATGTGTTGTGTTCCAAAATATGCATTAAACTACTAATTAAAGAATACTTACGTAAAATAAGTGGGATATCCTGCATTCACAAACCAGCAGTACTTTTTGGCTGCTGCACTCTGAGGAAATAAAAAAAAAGTTTAGTTGGACCATGCAAAGTAGAATGTGTCAATAATTAATCATAGGGGTGCATTCATTTGATCATGAATACCTACACTAAAGCATAAAAATGTTTTCTTCCTTGAGCCAGTTGAGGTCCACATTTCAAAAGTGATCAGTACAGATTATTCATTTACATTTAGCTACCATTTTTTTGTAAACTTTGTTCACAAAATATCACTTGGAAATTCAATGGATCTTTGGAAACCACATGAACTACTTGATTCATCAAGTGCCAAGACCATTCTAAGTTTGCTGGAAAAAAGATACAATATTTCTTGCTAAGTTATTTTCACATTCTCCTCCAGTCAAAGCCAACGTTTAAGACATTTTTTTTCATATATAGATAATTTCAAGCATTTAAGTCAGATTAACAATTAAATGTTGCCCTGTCATAGGAAGGATTTTATGAAGCTGGAGAGGGATCAGAAAAGATTTACCAGTATGTTGCCACGAATGGACGGTTTCAGTTATAGGAAAAGGCTGGATAAGCTCAGACCTTTTTCCATTGGAGCATAGGAGGTTGAGGGGTGACGTTATGGAGGTTTATAAAATCATGAGGGGTGTACAGAAGGTGAACGGCACATGTCTTTTCCCTACGGTGGGGGATTTCAAGACTGGGGGCATATTTTTAAGGTGAGAGGAGAAATATTTAAAAAGGACATGAGGGGCAACTTTTTTTTTTTTAAACAGAGAGTGGTTCATGTGTGAAATGAATTTCCAGAGGAAGCGGTGGATGTGGGTACAGGTACAACATTTAAAAAATGTTTGGGTAAGTACGTGAATAAAGAAAGCTTGGCAGGATATGGGCCAAGCATAGGCAGACAGGACTAGTTGACTTTGGGGTTATAGTCAGCATGGATTGGTTGGACCAAAGGGTCTGTTTCCGTGCTGTTTGACTCTTATGTTTAGTTCTGCACACTCTTCACTAACTCCTTCACTGTGCTTGCAGCACCCACTGTGATGCATCCAAATTTAAAACGTCACCTGGCATCATGATAACTCTTCCTTCCCCTGTTATCTTATTTATGCACAATCTCAACACTTCGGATTTAAAATAAAAGGGAGGGACACCAATTTCAAAGATCACTTCATTACTTTGCTCCCTTCAGTAGCCGTTATCAAACTTATTCAATATAAAACATAGGTGTCATCACAGGGGTGTTTGAAATGCTTTTACATTAGCACAGTAATGGCATGTTGTGATTCTTTCTCTCCCAAAATAATTTTGTAGCGCTCCCCATTCCTCTTCAATATCACACCCAACTTTTCAAACACAGTTTTGCTTTTATTTTTTCTACCTGCTCCTTAATGGAGGATACAGGCTCACTCCTTTAAAAAGAAGTGCTTACACAGAGTTCATACCTATACAGTAAGGAGACATTCTGCACATCATGCATTCACACCATGAGGTCATCAGAGCAGTCACTTACTTTTACCAGAAACCAACACCACTAGACTACTACTCTGACACAAATGAAATAAATCAAATCCTTTTTTTTTTTACTAGAACAGATTTCATGACATTTAGTAGCAGTTCGAGGATATTTCAGGATTATGTTACGGTTAAGGGAGGGTCACATTTCACAATCAAATCATTTGCTGTGAATGAAAAAGATCAAAATGCATTTTAATTTGCTAGGAATATTGGACATGTTTTCAGGAAGACATACTGTATTCTGTCCATTTTTCCACGAAAGCTATCAGTATTCTTGGCATTGACAGATTGTTTTCAGACTTTTTTTCCACAATGACAGAGCTGACACCATTGGCTATAATGTTAGTGACATATTCACAAGTACTAGCGGTTGAACCTACACGCCTTGTAAGCAAATTGAGCTTCGACTTGCATTAAAATGCACCATTTCTAAACTAAAGTAAATTTCACTCCTAACAAGTAGTACTGAATATCTAATGGGTACATCTGCATGCATGATGGGGTTTAAACAATAGCCGAGATGTGTGCTGAAGCGGGATATCATAATATTAGTTAAGCCAATTTCCCATCTCTTTTATTATTAAAATTGTGTGTGTGGAAGTGCAAACTGATTATGAACCAAAGACTGATAAAATGATTTTGATCACTTCTTTGATGGTAGTTGTGCATTCAGCGGTTTAAACCCCAAGATCTGCAATCATCTCCCCAACTCTATACCTCCAAGACACTTCTTCAAACCAGCTACATGTAACAAACTTTCAATGCCAAATTTTGTTTCATGATGTTTTGAACTGCTGGATTAAATACACTGTATAAATGCAAGTCGCTGTTGCTAGTGAAAGATCAGATTGAGGAGAGAAAACAAAGAGATAAGAAAGAAAATTGCAAGTATGAATATCTGACAGTGTACTCGAACAAGATTCCACAATTCCAAATGTTCCCTTTCTAGGTTTGAGAGGTCGAATGGCATTGTAGTAACTCAAATCTCAAAATCAACAGATACAAGCAGCAGCCTTAACTATCTGCAGCAAACTTAATTGGTCACAAAACAGATACAGACAATTTCTCAAAGGTCATGAATCTGTGGAATTCACTAGCTCAGAGTGTGGTGGATGCTAGGAAATTGAGTAAATTTAAGGACAAGATAGATGGTTTTTAGTTAGTAATGAGTTGAAGGATTATGAAGAGTGGGCAGAAAAGTGGAGATGAGATCAGCCATGATTATCTTAAATGGCAGAGTAGGTTTGAGCTGAATTGCCTACTCCTGTTCCTAGTTCTTCTGTTGTGTTCTTGGACTTGAGGGAAGATTAAGTGAAAATAACAATCTTGTGAGGCTGACATGGAGCAAGGTAAATCATCCAGCAACTTGTGATTCAAAATTATTCCATCAGCACATGTTGATTGGAAAATTATACACAAATGTGCATGTTAAACTTTTTTTCCCCTCGATTACATGTTTTCTCAGTACCGGTCACAATTCATAACATTAGTCTCAAAAATTAAAGCACTTTGAGTGAATACCCCTTCCTCTAAATGGAAAGTAACCATGTTGGAGGGATGAGGAGATAATGGTAGGTGAATTTTTCTCTGGGTACCCAATACACTGAAGAGCCACTAAAATGGCCAAGGAAGAATCTGAAGTTGCAGGACCAGTTATACAACAATTAGTGCAAAGCATTATTTTGGTAAAGCAACGAAGCTTGCAAAAGGAACAAAACAGCAAGAGCAGCATTAAGGAGTGCTCCATAACATTAGATAGTACCTACCCTTGATGTCCTCCTCTAAGTGACCAGCTGATTGAAATGAAAAACCATTGCAGAGGATTGAGCACTACTTAAAAAGTACACTGCTATTTACTTGCTCCACAGGCTTGAAGAGGACTTTTGAAACATATCAGGGAACTTAATAGGACACTTCATCAAGACTTCAATATTTATACTGGAAATTACATAAGCATTTCACCTGAAAAGGTAAGTGTTCCTCGACTCTAACTTACATGGACAGCAGGAGAAATGAAGTTTTATTATTCTTTCCCAGGATGTGGGCATGACAAGCTAAGTTCGCATTTATCGCCACTCTTAATTCACCTTTGAGAAGATGATAGTAAGCTTCTATCTTGAACATCTGCAATCCATGTGATGTAGATGCATCCACACTACTATTGGGGTGTGAGTCCCAGAATTCTAATCAAGCAACTGTGAAGGAACAGCAATATACTTTAAGTCTCAATGGTGTGGGCCAGTAGAGGAACTGGTGTTCCATGGTGTTCCCATACATCTGTTATATTTATCTTTGTGGTTGATCGGGGTCACAGATTCGAGATGTGCAGTTGAAAGAGCAAAACTTCGTCATCAATATTTCGTTAAGGTTCACGAATGATCTGTAGGAGGAACGGAAGGAAAACCAAGGATGGCAGAACTGCACCAGCTACTGGAAGAAAGGGTCAGAAGAAAGAGAAAGTTGGACTCCTTCATCTTGTGGATACAGGACATTCCTTTTAATCTGGACTGCTTCTACCGGGACTAGCATTAACATGTCCAAAAACAAATGCGCTCTTTCATTCAATATATGAACCATCCTTAAAATATGCCCATGAGTCAGCACAATCCACATGCTCAGTGGAAGTGGGTCAGTTAACAAAAAACAAAGAACAATAGCAAGTTTGCAGATGACACTAAGATTGGTGGAGTAGCAGATAGTGAAGGGGACTGTCGGAGAATGCAGCAGAATATAGATAGGTTGGAGAGTTGGGCGGAAAAATGGCAGATGGAGTTCAATCCAGGCAAATGTGAGGTGATGCATTTTGGAAGATCCAATTCAAGAGCGAACTATACGGTAAATGGAAAAGCCCTGGGGAAAATTGATGCACAGAGATATCTGGGTGTTCAGGTCCGTTGTACCCTGAAGGTGGCGACACAGGTCGACAGAGTGGTCAAGAAGGCATACGGCATGCTTTCATTCATCGGACGGGGTATTGAGTACAAGAGCTGGCAGGTCATGTTACAGTTGTATAGGACTTTGGTTCGACCACATTTGGAATACTGCGTACAGTTCTGGTCATCACATTATCAAAAGGATGTAGATGCTTTGGAGAGGGTGCAGAGGAGGTTCACCAGGATGTTGCCTGATATGGAGGGCACTAGCTATGAAGAGAGGTTGAGTAGATTAGGATTATTTACATTAGAAAGACGGAGGTTGAGGGGGGACCTGATTGAGGCCTACAAAATCATGAGAGGTATAGACAGGGTGGATAGCAAAAAGCTTTTTCCCCCAGAGTGGGGGATTCAGTTACTAGGGGTCACAATTTAAAGGTGAGAGGGGAAAAGTTTAAGGGAGATATGCGTGGAAAGTTCTTTATGCAGAGGGTGGTGGGTGCCTGGAACGCATTGCCAGCAGAGGTGGTAGAGGTGGGCACGATAGCGTCATTAAAGATGTATCTAGACAGATACATGAATGGACAGGGAGCAGAGGGATATGGATCCTTGGAAAATAGGCGACAGGTTTAGATAGAGGATCTGGATT